CCTCACATCCTCACAGAAAAATGTTCCAGTCTTTCAAACTCAGTGCCTCCTCCCCTGAAATAGCACCTTCCCAGATAGATTTGTAAGATTTTGAACTACAGAGACGCCGTTGATGGATCTAGTCCTCAAGCCCCGTGCCTTAAGAACTGCTCTTCTTGTCCAGGCAACCATAGTTGTGATCTGTGATTTCACATGCCCCATGCCCCGCTGCCTCCCCAACCAAGGCTGATGGGTCCCCTGAGCCAAGGCAAGGCTGCCATCCCTCTCCGAGGGAATGAAAAGGAGATTCTAGAACGTTGGTCTAGTGTTTGCTGATCTCACACTGAGGCTGAGGCGGCCACTGTGGGGGAGGGAGCCATTGTGAGCCACGTGCATGGAAAAGCAGAAAAAGCTGAACAAAACGAGAGTGGGGGAGAAGTAAAGGGCACCAGCAGAGAAGCAAAGATGGGGGCCATCAAGCCCCAGAGAAAAGAACCAACACACAAGCTGCCCTGGGTAGTTAGGACTTTCTGGTTCATGGTTCATGGCTCATGGCTCCACCTACTCTTGTGTGAACCAGGACTGCATTCCCTGCACTTGGTTCCTGAGAGAGATCCTGATCTTCAAAAGACATTAGCCCGTTTTTGCTGAAAGCAGTTTGCAATCATGAAAAGCTCCACTGAGCATCGGGACATTCCTGACATTGCGTGAGAAGGGTGGGCCAAACTGTTAACTGCTAAACAGCGGAGGAACAAGCCCACCGCTTCGCAACAATTCTTTTATTCATAACCTACTGCCGCTTCATCACTTCTCTGCACTGTTTCCACAGGAGGGCTGATCTGTCCGTTCACAATACAACCCACAGACCTCCTTCCCAGAACTCCTCTAGTCAGGGATCCTAACAAGCAACCTTGTTCACAAACAAAACACCCTCCCGGCCAGTGACAGTAGGAAAGCATTAGCACAGCCATTCTCTTTCTCATATGTATTAGCTGACCCTCTGCAATGCTTGGGTTTTGACTCTTTTCTTTTTTAGGATTGAGAATGAATCCAGTGGGAACTGGAGGATCCTGCATGCAAAAGTGTACGTGAACGTTGAGCCCCGTTCACCTTTGTACCTCAAGCCTTGCAGAGGATCCCACGCCGGGTGAGCACTTGCTGAGTAAATGAAAGGGTGAAAACTAGGAGCATCACAGTCAAGAACACAAACTCTGGAGTCAGACAGAACTGGGTTTAGAACCCCAAGTCTTCCACTGACAGCCTACAACATTTATGAAGGCTTAGAACTCTGCTAAGAATTTTATGTGCATTATCTTATTTAATGCTCCCTCCCTGAAAACTTTAAGGTATTATTATCCCTCATTTTACACTTTGTGAAAATTGAGCAACTTACCTACAGGGTCAGTACCCGGCATAAGCTCCTAACTTTTATTTTATTTTTTATTAACGTTATTGGGGTGACATTGGTTAATAATATTATATAGGTTTCAGGTGTACAATTCTGTAACGCATCATCTGTAAATCATAGATCTGACCACCCCAAGTCAAATCTCCTCCCTATACCCTCTTCTACCTCCTCCTAACCCCCTTCCTCTCCGGTAAATCCCATGCTATTGTCCGTATCTGTGAGTTTTTCCTAACTTTTATGATAAACTGCTTACCACTGACTGTGACCTTAGGTAAATGATTTAATCACTCAATTTGCTGAAGATCGTGGTTTTGAAGATTAAGTCAGACAGACAGTGTTTTTAAAGTGCTTATTAGTACAAGGCCAGACAGAGCAAACTGCTCATTAAAATGTAGCTATTATTAGTCTACAGTGAGATGCTTCAAGCAGAACATTCGGTTCTTTAAGTTACATGTTCGCTGGAAAATAGCCATTTCTAGGCAACCAAAACAAAAGGAGCAAATTATAGCCAATATTTATCTTGGATATAGTCTAAAGGCTCCAAAAGGAAGTAGCAGATAAATCTTCTGATAGCCTGAAAGCAATGATCATGCTTGCAGTTAGGGGGCGCCATACTGCTGTACTACATTATAGGAAACCACTGATCCAGAGTCTTCACCACCCTAGGACTTTTCTCTAACAAAGTGCAGGTAGATAACTTCTGACCTGTAATAACTTTTTTTGGCAGGGAAGAGGGAAGTCCTTGAATATTTATTTTCATATTTTTTCACAATTTCCATTTCAATTCCAACATATATTCCTATTTTATTACCAATGCCTTTGCTATTGCCTCATTGAGATAAAGGGCATTATTACATTATTCAATGACCTTTAAAAACCCAGGGGGAAAAGTACTTAGTTAGAATCAATACACTAATAAGCACAGAAATTTAAAGTATCTGAAAAAGAATTGGTCTAAAACAAACATATGTATTGGCAAATGTTGAAAATGGGGGATGGGAGTTCATTATACTAACCTCTCTAAATTAATATGTTTGAAATTTTTCATTAAAAATTACAAATAAATTTTTAAAATAAATGTACATGTTCGGCTTTTAAAAAATTCAGTTTTTCTAAAATTGGGCATGAAAAAAGTGGGTCTATATCAGAAGAGTAAGGTACTCAGTTGAAGGAAGAGAAGTAAGTAGCTTAAATTAAGGTGAAACTAATATAAATCCAGTAGAGATGCAATGTGTTTCTACAATGCTTTAATAATGAACTTCAAACAAGATACCCAAGGACACAGACATTACTAAGGAGACTTCTTTATACAAACAAATCAAACTTTTAAAAAATTTCACTGTAACAATTGTTTGCTCAAACCTGGTTTACATTTGGTTCTAATTGGTCGGGAATGCCCCAATCTAGAGATGATTTTTCTCAAAGGAAGGGATGAAGAGCTTTGTGCCAAAATAGCCAAAAGAGAGTTGGATCTCTAGGTATGGGCAGACAGATGTCTCTTCGGTGGACAACAGATGAATTTCCTCTTTTCAATCCACAGTTAACTGAAAGCTTTAACTGAAAAGTCATTTGTTCTACCCAGAAGATAATCCATAATCGAAAAATCATATCTATGAACCTTGTTGTCCTCAGCCAGACATACACAGTGCTTTTCATCCCGTTTGTGGAGTTAAATTCTGGCCTAAAACCCTACCACTGTTCATCAAGTCAAAGCTAAATAAAAATACTTAACATTCAAACATGTTAGTGACCTCTTTCTGCCAATTAATTCTGACCCCCTTCAGAGCGAATTCTGTTCCTAGAATGCCCAGGGAGGTGGGGGGAGGGGAGGATTCCTAACGCCCAAGTTTAAAAGGAAGTTTTAAAAACTGGGCAGAAGCCATCTGCTGTTCCAAGTTGAAGCTGCAAGCACCTCTGCAATACTCAGGCTAGCCATTTCCCTCCCCTCCCCTCCCCTTCCGGGGCCCCAGCCGGGCAAGGTGCAAATACAAGACTGATCAAGACAGACAGCCTTCTAATCCTCCACCCAAATGAGGAAGGAGAGCAGAGAAACAACAACATCAAGCTTCTACCGAGTCCGGCTAACTCTGAACTTTCCCCAAATCAAAGTAAAAGTTAGAAAGCAGCATTTTCTTCAAAAAATTTACTTTTAGGGTGAGATTAATAATGATGTCTTCGGATAGTCTATTCACGTCCCTCTAGTTTGAAAGCAACCACTTTCTCCTCTACTCCATTCACCCACTCCAACCCGCTCATTTCTATACATTTCCAGTCTTCACTACTTGCACTATATTCAGAGTGTTCCTCTCAGCTTATGGCACACAAGGTGTGTTATCACAGGACGAATCTTAAATTGAGAAATACTACTACCTATACGGCTGAAGAATGATACAGAGGTGAGGGTTCACCTTCCTTCTCACGCTAGCCGTGCTGTGTTAAAGTGCAAGTTTTCCACGGTTCTGAGTGCCCCTTGACCAGCCCACAATGAAAGAAATGCAAATCGCTCTGAGAACTGCCGCTGGACAGCAGGCTGGACTGTCATCGGTAGAAAAGACTGCGTGGCTAGCTTCTCCCAAATGAATGTACGCGGTACTACATGTTCCCACCTTTCTGCCAACCCACCTGTAAATGTTTCCAAGATAAATTTCTACCCAGGGAGTCCTTCTGGCTGTGAATGAAAACAAAATTTCTTCCCAGAGGTACTTCTACCCTCTCCTGATCACATAACCCATGGGTTTTTAAAAATATATATTTTATTGATTTTTTTTACAGAGAGGAAGGGAGGGGGATAGAGTTAGAAACATTAATGAGAGAGAAACATGGATTAGCTGCCTCCTGCACACCCCCTACTGGGTATGTGCACTCAACCAAGGAACATGCCCTTCACCAGAATGGAACCTGGGACCCTTTGGTCCACAGGCTGACACTCTATCCACTGAGCCAAACCGGTTAGAGCATAACCGGTGGTTTTGAGTATATTTTCCCACCAAGAGGATTTCCAGTCAAGCAGATGATCTACGCGGCCTGGGTGCAACAAGCCCGGGGCAGCACTCAAAAGCGAAGAGGAGCTTCACTCTTTCACAGGGCAAACTCTCCCCACACCTGCCAAACTCCACAAGCCAAATGCCACATTGCAAAACCACAGCTGTCTCCAGCATTCTTTAAAAGTGCGTTCATAGAAATCCCCTTTGAAATCAATGAAGGGCAAATAGTAGGTGACTTTTAGAGTAGACAGTGAAGATCAATGAGTTCACGTGTATCTCGGATCCTACACAATCTTTCTACCAACCTGCCCCTCATCTGGACTTTTGAGAACCTCCGTGTCTTAACATCAGACCAAAAAGCCCACCGCTGGCCCGGCTTGCACCACCTACCAGGGCACATTGTGCCAAAGCGATCAGAAGGTCATTATAATCATACACCTAAGGCCCTTAGCACGGATTTTTCCCCCCCTGGGGGATGGGAAGACCAGACTGACTTCTTTCTTGCTTCTTGGTTAAAACCTAAAGTTCGCTTGTAAGCCCCGCGAAGGCGACAGACAACAGACTCCGACCGTCTCCAGTCCCTGCGGGCTGTGGCAGCGGCAGCGGCGGGGCGCCCGCGCGCGTCCTACCTTGGACCTCTCCTTGACGTAGTATTTGCCCAGCCGGCTCCCGCAGTACAGGACCAGCCTGTCGATGAGGGACAGGAGGAAGCTGATGGCCTCGCAGCCCTCCTCGTTGCCCCCGATCCACGTGATCTGGTCGCCCCGCAGGTGCCGCTTGGAGACGCCGGCGCGCGGCCCCGCCAGCTGGCCGTCCCGCAGGGCCCCGTCGCTGTGCAGCTGCCGGACGCGCTCCAGGACGCAGTCGCCCACCACCTCGCCCAGGAAGTTGTCCAGGTAACAGAAGCCCACTTCGTGCAGGCAGGGCACGATGTACTCCAGGGCGATCTTCTCCAGGTCCAGCCTCATGATGTGTCCCAGAGGCATCTCCCCGGCAGAGCGGAGCCCCGGGACCCCCAGCGTGCACCGAGAGAGAGTCCCGCGCGCGCTCCGCCGGGGCTGGGGGAGCGTGGCCCCGCGATCAGCTGCCTGCGGCTGCCCCGCACCCCGAACCACTCACTGCAGCGCCGGGGAGCCGGGAAAGTTGCTCGCAACTCTGGGGAGAAGGGACCCAGTTGCGGACCAGCGGGAGTTGCGGGGAGTTCCACGACCCAGCAGCACCAGACTGATCCAGGGAGGATTCCCAGGGCCCTTTTTGGAGACGCGGAGCAGCCAATGGTGCGGCGGCGGCGGCCCGGGCGGGGAAAGGCTGAGGTCCAGCCCCGCAGCCGCCCAGCTTGGCGCGTCACCGCCCCGCCCAGGCCCCGCCCCGGGACCGCCTCTCGGACAGTCCTTCTCCCCCCCCCCCCTCCCCGCCCATCACCCCGCAGGGGCCCACCACTCCGCCGCCTGGGCTGTTTGTGACTGGGGGGGGGGGGGGGGGGGGGGAGAAGGGGCGGGGCTGGCGAAAAGACGGGATTTTAGAATGTTATAGATTTGCATGTGTTTTGCATAAAGTCCAAGAACAACCTTGAAAACCTGACTCCCAGCTCTGAAAACATAAATGGAACAGCACAGTTTACTGCCACATTCTGGCTGCTGACCTCACAGGCTTTTGAACAAAAAAAATAAAGCCAGGGACAAATTATCTGTATATTAAATAGTGATCTCTTTCTAGCTTGACCATCATGATGCCTTTCCTTATTCCCCTTTCCTCAAGCCAGGAAGTTCAAGGCACTGAGCGACTGAGAGAAATTCAGTTTTAACTAAAATTAACAAACTTTTCTCTACCCTCCACTGTATTCAAGACCCTCCGCGCTCAATGCACAATGAAGAAATGCTGGGTCAGATCTGATTGAAAGATGAAAATACCCCTTTGCTGTATGTTTCCATTGACTTATCTTTCAAGTTTACTCAAATATGGTGCTCTGAAAGTCTGTCTTTGAAATTAACCACATGCTTGTGTAACAGCCAGTTTGGGTATGTCTCCCAAAAGATAGACTGTGTTCTCACCTCACTTTCCCCACAGAAAGGGAGGGAGGAATATCACCAAAAGAGTTTTTAGTTACCCAAAGATAAGCCGACTGCTTAATGGGGTTTTTAAAATTTATTTTATTTCCTAATGAACACTAGAGATAAAAATCAGGAAAAATCATAAGTTGGATGCAAAGCTATTTTCATATTTTTAATTTTACGTTAGTTTGCACTCAGGTTCTTTTTTAAAAAAAATATATTTTATTGATTTTTTTACAGAGAGGGAGGGAGAGGGATAGAGAGCCAGAAACGTCGATGAGAGAGAAACATCGACCAGCCACCTCCTGCACACCCCCCACCGGGGGTGTGCCCACAACCAAAGTACATGCCCTTGACGGGAATCAAACCCGGGACCTTCAGTCCGCAGACCGAGGCTCTACCACTGAGCCAAACCGGTTTCGGTTGCACTCGGGTTCTTCATTTAAGTTGAACAGAAGGATGTACAGGTTTTACAGCCATTGCTTAATTTGCACACAATCGCTCTGGCTTTTTCTTTTATTCTCCTGCCTAAAGCCTTCTCTCTGCATGTGAGAGGAGCAATATGAAAGGAGGAATGGCATGAAGTCCAGGCCAAGAACCAAGAATGGAAGAGGAAAGGGACGCTGCAGCTCCGTGGTGGAAAGAAGCAAATAGATGGTCAAGAAGAGCAGTCAGTGGGAAACTGGTGAAACCTCCAGTTACACTGAGAGAGGTTCTCGGCCAAGAGGGCAAGTCATTGGCATTGCTGGTGTGACCTCTCAGGAGGTGCACTAGTGTAAAGGCTTGACCTGGCCCGCCTCAGGAGCTGTCCAAATCTCTCAGCTGCTCCGTGATGCTTGCAGCCCACAAGCTTAGACCTCCAGAAACTAGCAGCTAATAGTTGTCTTAATAATGTGGGCCTGGATAGACTGTGGCTTCTGGTTTGTGCAGCTTTGGGGACTGTTGTAGACCTCCAAAGTAGATATCCCTGAAGAAACCAGAATTTAAAATTGGAGGGGGGGGGGGCGGTGTGTGACTGATAAACCTTGGTAGGTGGCTGAAATGTTTCCAGATGAAGTCTATGTAGGTGCACCTGAGACTCCTAGGAATCACTAGGACGCAATTTACAGAAGACCAGTAACCTGGAGTAGCCAGTGGAGGTGTGTGTGTGTGTGCGTGCGTGCGTGCGTGCGTGCGTGCGTGCGTGTGTGTGCGCGCGCGCACGCGCGCGCGCGCGCCATTGAGACAGCTCTGATTCCTAGCAACTCCATGAATTAGTGATGTTCACAGTGGCCTGTCCTCAACAACTTGTAGACTCATGCGATGATGGGCAATATACAGAAAATTACATACCCAACTCCCAGACTTTAAGTCCTAGGACTGCGTCAATTTGGCTTACTATTCAAATAACATTTCAATAATTTCAGAGTAAAGTTCTAACTTAGTCTAGTTGTGATCAGAGCAGTGGTCTATAGCCTGTTCTAATGACTGATGGCCCCGAGCTGTTCTAGATGACTTGGTTGCAAAGAGAGGGCCGTTCAGAAGGGTATTTAATCCCTTGTCACCATCCTGCTTGGCAAGGGCACCGGTTAATCAATCAAGGGCCTCCCAATCAACACGATTCTGCCAGCACTGCGCTTGGCTGAAGAGCTTGAGATATGGTGACCAGCAGAAAGCACAGTGTGTGATTACATGGCGGGTACAGACAGGCTGGAGCCGAGCATGGGCTCCGAGCCTAAGTAGCCGAGTGGCGAACTCCACGCTAATGGCCGAAGTGCATTTGTTTAGGTTACTTGCCCATTAATTTGTGTCACTGTAATAATTAATATTAAAATACTTTTCATATGAATAAAACGAATTAATTTCCCTGTAATTTAATTACAACACTCATTGTCTCCTAGTATACATCTGCAGTACAGATGCAGTTGTTTTCAAGCCTGGGGATGAGACAGGGAGGAAAGAGGGGTGTTGAGTTTCATTGCCTGAGAATTTGAAGTGAAGAGGATCCTCGTAATCACCTCATCCAATTTCATTTTCTTACAGATAAGGAAACCACAGGCCCAGAGGGGATGGCTGTTAGATAGCTTTCTCAAAGAAGGCCTCTGGTGAGTGGAAGAGGAGTCTGGAATGTTCTGTATTCTCAACTAGGACAAAGACAGCACTCACTCTGGTCCCACTTACGCGTGTGTGATTTTTTTATGATGTAAGACTCATATCACATAAACTGAGCCCTTACAAACGGAACAATTCAATGGCATTTAGTACATTCACAAACTTGTGCAACCCCTGCCACTCTCTAGTTCCAAACATGTTTACCACCAGAAAAGAAAACCCTCCACCCCTTAGAAGGTCCTCCCCGATTACCCAGCTCAGAACAAGCACCAATCTACGTTCAGTTGCTATGAATTTATCAACTCTGGATATTCCCTAAAAGTAGAATCATGGGACGTGGGACCTTTTGTGTCTGGTTCCTTTCACTCAGTAAAATGTTCCCCAGGTTCACCCACGTGGTACCATTTATCAGCACTGTGTTCTCTTGTGTGGCTGAATAATATCCTATTATATGGACAGGCCGCGTTTGTTTATTCTTTCATAAGCTAGTGAGCAGTTGGTTGTTTCCATTTTTTTTTTTTTTTTCGTTTTTGAGTACCTGCTTTCAATTCTTTGGGGTATATACCTAAGAGTGGAATTGCTGGGACATATGGTAACTCTGTTTAACTTTTTAAGGTACTGCTAACCTGTTTCTGAAAGGGCTGGGTCATTTTACATTTCCACCAATAATATGGGAGTTTTCTATCACATTCACTTTTATTTCTCATGAAAACTTCTCCTTCGATGTCCTGCCATGCCTGAGGCTCCTTCCTTGAGCATTATTTTCTGCGTTTTTGCTATGAGATATCATCAAGAGGTCTATTGTTATATTGAATGACTTCAATGTGAGCAAGGGCTATCTTATTTATTAGTTTATTAATTTATTAATTTATTAATTTATTAAACAAACACTTTTGTTAACATCATATTCCAGGCATTTTGCTAAAATGTTATAAACATTACTTGGATTAATTCATATAACACTGCCAAGAAATAGGTACTATTAATATTCTCCATTGTGAAGATAAAAATGAGGCAGAGAGAGAGCGGGGTGCTACGGAATTTGTTCAAGGTCACACAGTGAAAGAGTAAAACAATGATGGAAAAAATCTGAGAGATTCCAGTGTAGTAAGATCAGGGAGGGGGGGGGGAATTATTTCAAGCCACTTGCATGGCATAGCAACAGTTTTGCCCTTAAGCACTTTATTTTTTTATCCAGTGTGTTCTTTGGGATGGCTCCCTACTCATCTTGATTTGGAGTGCTGTTAGCGCTGTTTCCTTCTGAAAGAGCACTCTCTGTCAGCCTTGCCTTTCCTCCTGTTGGCCAACAGAGGACAGTGAGCAGCCTACACAGGAAGCGACCTGTGTGCAGCGCCCAGAAGGGGTGATTTTTAGCGTCCTGGGCATTTCACAGGCACAGTGCTCTGGTGTTTCCTGGGTTCCTCTTCTGGAGCGGGGTGAAGGCGGTCCTAGGGAGAGGCATGCTGGTGTGGGGGTCCACCACCACCAGAACGGCCCTTCAGTACTCCTTGTGTTATAACTCTTCATTATAACACTCTGGCCCTGCGGATAAGTGGCTTCTGGTTTGTGCAGCTTTGGGGACTGTTGTAGACCTCCAAAGTAGATATCCCTGAAGAAACCAGAATTTAAGATTGGGGGGGGGTGGGGGGCGGTGTGTGACCGTCCCCTTTATTTATCCATTTCCTTACTAGTACTTGTAAGCAAACTTACCATAAATTACTTAGCGGACTACATTGAGGGGAGCCTTTCAAACTACAAGTTAAGATTTGCTCTTTTCTCCGTTCCAAATATGGCCCAGTGTTTCCAGGAATTGCACATTCCACTGGTGTACACTCTGCCGAGAT